TATCAGTATCATCATTTTCAGCGATATACATATTTATACATACTTATATATATCTATATTATATATATATATATATTATGTATATATATATGTGTGTGTGTGTTGTGTGTGTGTGTGTGTGTGTGTGTGGTGTGTGTGTGTGTGTGTGTGTGTGTGTGTGTGTGTTGTGTGTGTTGTGTTTGTGTGTTTGTGTGTGTGTGTGTGTATTCATATTCTAATCACCATATTTTTCATGAAAATTTTCTTCCAGCTTAGAATTAAATGAAGGGAAAGCGAGCTATCGTCCTCAGACATAAGATTTTCAAGCAAGGAAGCGCAGTATGTAATTCCGGCTTTGCTTCATATGTTAGATACTCTTCAGTGGCTGCAAATGGTGATAAAGTAATTGTATTGTTTAAATATTCAAGCGACAAGCACTGAAGAGATATGATTAGAATGATTTTTATAAGAAATTGCTTAGTTGATTGTAATACTGAAAAAAATCGGTTGCAAAATGAGTGGACATTACATTTCTTTCGTAATAAAGCCAAGAGTATATATGTATCAGACAGACATGGTAATTTTTTCACAATACCTTCGCATACCCGATCGCGACGATTTTGATATCAATGGATTCCTGTCATCCACCAGCACACATATATGGAAAATTGTGTTGCGGAATTCCCTCAAACCACCACATTCTTGGCCCTGATAGTAGGAGAGGCATGAAATGTACCAGGGAATTGGGTAATTTGGAAAAAGCCGTCACCAATGCTTCTCAGGATGAAACTAGATTAGTTTGATTTCTATTGTTTTGGTTCGGTTGAATCTGGTATTCTTTTACATTGGAAATGGCTAGAATGTCTTTTCCATACCAGAATGGTGCCACTCTTGATATTATGTGTCCAGTGTAGAATTCTTGATCTCTGCTGTAATCATCATGGTTGATTATCACTATATTTTCTAATAAAGGGGGCTGTGCCCCGACACCCCCCATAGGGGGCCTACTGGCACTAACCCTGGCCAGGAAAACAAAGAATCCTCCATGTATTCATGGCAGAAGAAAGCGTCGGACATACTCAGCACTGGGCAGTCCCGCATGTCAGTCATAGGTACAAAAATTACACACTGCAAGGCTGTAAGGCGCTGTGCCCCCTGCAACCGGCTTACGCCCCATCCCACCCCTAGCCAGGAATGCAAAGAATCCTCCATGTATTCACGGCAGGAGAGAGCTTCGGACAGAGTTGGCATCAGCTGCTTCCACATGCCATTCGTATGCACGTGAAGTACTGTACATCTAGTCACTTCAGTGAAAATAAACCTTACAACATACCTATATGGTGGGGGGGCCGGGATGAGGGTCGTCATATCATTGGAGTGGCTTGTAGGAGCGAGAGCGTCGGAGAGGTCTGCGTGAGGAGAGTGATGTCGTGACAGCTAGTCGCAAAGCACTTCAGAAGGTAGCACTCCATATTGACATAATAGTTTCGAGCTAGCCTCATCGTCTTCAAACTAATTTTTATAGCTCGGTATGGTATGATACGATACCCTACACATACTGAAGCCATGGCGAGACTGATTTGAAAGTTGAATTTCATAGTTTCTGTTTTAGCTAATGTTCATTCATTGACTGTTTCTTCATGTCTTGTTTCCCCATTGGTTTTTAAATTAACTGGCAGACAATGGACAATGAAATCATGACACTGGCCACAGGTGAAATAATAGGAACAGAATAGGTTTGACAGACCCCGCGCATGCACAGTGGAGAATTTGGTCAGTATTCCCTCAGCAATCATGTGAATCTCACCTCTTTCCAATGTTATTTTTATTTTTTTGATAATTAAGTAAATTTGTTCTTATTCATTTGCGGGACGTTTATTCAATGAAAAGCAATCATTAATTAAATATCTTCAAGGCTGTAAGGTTAGTTTTCATTGATTCTTTGGTGATGCCTTTTTCTAATAATACCGGAAATTGCAGGATAATATATGAGTAATATACACAGAATTAGTCGCTTTATTGTATAATGCTGGGGACTCTGCAATTTCCCTGGTACCTTTCATGCCCTCCCCTATTGTCGCTTATAGGAGGCTTTCCACAATATGGATATGCGAAGATATTCTGAAAAATTACCGAAAGGGAGACAAACACACATACAGGGTAGACTAAGCTAGTTATTGCTAAGATCTAAAGATCAGTTCCTGTACCCTGATGTGTACAGTGATGAGGAAATAGAAAGAAAATTATAGGAGTGTATATTTTTATGTTTAGGTCACGTGTATATATTTCTTTTTCTGTATTTTTTTTCCTTTTATATATGTGTGTGTGTATTTTTGGGAGTATGAGAGCCTTATTTCACTGTACTCTCTGTCTCAGGCCTTGAATTTTTATTCCAATAACATTGTGTTTACTTCTTGCTTTTAATATTTTGTCAATTATTTATTACTAACCTTTTCACATGTCTTACAGAATAGAACAATGCAGCTATTGATGGTTTGGAAAAGTCTTAAGATATGTGGTGTTAGAAGAGGTAGCACAGATTGGAGAAACAGCAACCCAGTATCCGTGAGAAAGTTGGTAAGGCAAATTACAACTGGCTTATAATATCTCCTCAATGTATGTGATCCAAAACATATTAATTGACACAGAGAAAGAATAACTTTGTTTTATTTTATATCTTTTTTCAAGTCATTCAGTAAGTCAACATTTTCAGATGTTGAATTTTCCTTTTGACTCTGGTTGGATACACTTACAAGCACCAGGAAGATGGATGGCAACTCTTGCTAGCCCTATGGCAGACAGGGTGCAAAGGAAGCACAACACAAGCTCAGTATCTTTCCCAAAGGCACCTCCCAGATTCAAGCTTCTTGCAGATTTCTTTGGTAAGGAGAGGAAGGAATATATAGCGTCAAATGTGATATTGAATGAGAGGAGAAAAACAGTTTTTGTTCTTTACTTGGGCATATTGATTTAACAATCTTTATCTTCATTGATTAATTCATTATTTCTGTACATTGATCATGTGCTCTTTCCTTATGCTAGTACAACTTTTATGACTGAAAGTGACTGCCAATGCTTTAAGAACTTTAATTCATGTCTTGATCCTTTATTGCAGGGGTGAGCAAATCACAAGCCCAGAGAATAGTTGAGGGTGACCCAAGACTAGGAGTGTGATACATTCATTCTCTCGAGGAATATGTCAACACTTAAAGTTAGTAGATATTGGTTATGTCAGTATTTATACTTGTATATTTATGATTATTAGTTTTTGTGAATATATGGCAATGTTTATATATTCAGGGTTCCTGCACATCCTTAATGTCTTGAAATGTCATGAATAATTTTTGGGGAAATTTAAGGCCTTAAAAGGTCTTTAAAAAATGGAGCCTTTTCTTGCGGGTGCTATGCGGCTAATCAGAAATCATTTGTCAACAACATTAGACCTTGACCTTTGCTGATTGACGGAACTGTTTACTAAAGGGCCATATGCAAAAGTATGTAATTCAGGCATGCAATCTATCCAAGAGGCTGTGTAGAGATCATGTCATGGTGAATTCTTTATCTGGTCACTGACCCAACAAGTAGGCCTACAAATTATGGGGAAGTGTGTATTCAGTGACAAGTGGCCTAGATCTTAAAAAGGTCTTAAATTTCATCAGCTTATACCTGCCAGAATCCTGAAATTATACAAGTATGTATTGCATATAAAAAGTATATAATTCTGATGTTATGTTCTGACCAAATTCATTTCTTTCCTGGTCCCTCATGTGTTCTTTTTGTTGTTGTAGTTTTTTTTTCCAATTTTAAGATAGAAATTATTTATGAGGAAGCTGAGATTTTTACTGAAGAGCCTTTTACAAGTACTAATAAGAAATTGTTTTCCAAATGTGAAAATGTAATGCATGTACTGAAGATATCAATAAAGGAAAGGTTTCTTGTAATGTATGTGGTGTTGATTAAAGTGTTGCCTGAAATTTACAGGAAAATGGCCTAAGGCCAGAAGAAGTACGAAGTCATCTGCAACTACTTTACTACTGCCCTCTGACGGTTCAGCATCAGATAGCCATCCTCCAAGAATTAGGGCTTATTAATCTCAAGGTTGCTCATTTTAAAAGGTGAGACAGTTGGAGAAAGACCTGTAAAATTGATGTGCACAGTTCTACCAATCAAAAGTTTTAGCAGAATTGGTAAAGCAGGTAATTTAGAAGAAATTGATATTGTATGCTCTTTGATAGCCCTTTTTTTTTAAGCATTTGACAGCACACTTGAAAGAGACTTTAAAATCATGTTTCAGTGCACAACGAGAAATATGTAGAAATTTTTCCTACACAGATAATGCTCTTACCCTGCCACACACAATTTCAGATAGACAAAATAAAAACTTTGATATGCATCTCATAGGAGACCTTTTTCTAGGTTTAAAAAATTCTACAAAAGCACATTCCAACTCATCAAAGACTATGGCCTTCTGCCTCATGACTATGACCCTAAGTGGGATATCCTCAAGCCCCTGCAAGTGCCAGAAGAAATCATCGACAACATTGAGTTTCCTAGCAAAATTGCAAACTTAACTCTAGGCCAAGTAAGTGTGACTAAAATGTATTTGTCAACAAGATAGATTAAAGCAGATTGATAGACATGATGTTAAGTTTTTAAAGAAATTTATGTATATTACAGTTGTGATCAGTGGCTCTGCAGGTTAAGGATCCTGATGCTGATCTTGTGCCTGTGTGATTCCATGAGTTATAAGGTCCCTAACTATTCCTAGCATACGGAGGAAGCGCAAACAAATAGAATCTGTAGGTGAGGTTGTGTCATTCATCATATGCCTACCTTATATTGCAATTGCTTTTCTGAGACAGATTCATGAGCAGCTGTCGAGTATATATCTCCAGTGGCGCTTAGAGTGTGAGGAAGACATCAAAAGGATTCGTCATATTTATCCTCCCACAAAAATGAAGAGCATGAGATTACAGTGTGAAGTGTTTGAGCTTCTCAACAAGAATGGAATATCAATATAACAGTAAGGTAATATTTGTAAAAAAGTTAAGTATGCATATGCAATAGTGTCGTGTTAACATTACATGGTTATTTTTCATTACGAAATGACTGTAACAAAATTAAGTGTGTAAGAATATTAGTTAAATATGTTCGCAGAATTAGCCAAGTGTTGTGCTCATAGTAGTGACAATAGCAATTTTAGGAATGTTTGGTTTTGTAGGTTCAGAAGACAATTGGAAAAGGAGAGTTGATTTGTTTAAATGTAAAGTTCATTCATAAACTGCTACTTCAAGGACTGGTCATGAGATTACATTTTTTTAAATGTTAACACTACCAATGCAGCATTTGGCTTCAGTGTCATTCATTTATATTTAGTCAGTCTTTCCCTTGCATTGATCTGCTGAAAATAATAATAAAACAAACAGTGTGCAGGTTATGGAAGAATATATATTTTTATTTGTGTATGTGTGTGTACTGATATAACCACATATAATGTACGAACGCATTGAAATTGCCAGGTTTTGCGGCATGGCTACCTGTTGTCTGGGAGTCCACACAACCTAAGGCTGATAGCAGAGCAGGTGACACAGCTTGCTGGGGCCAGCACCAAGGAGGCAGTTGCACTAGCTCCTCGGTTACTTAATGTTCCTTATTACAAGCTCTTGACCATCAGCAAGATCCTCACAGATCTTGGAGTGGAGCCGGTGAGTTAGCATTGTGTTTAGGTTTTGTTGCATTCAAAACAATTTTTCCTACTCCTGTGAGGTCTTGTTGATTATCACATTTTTTCATATTCACTTTTTTTCATGTGTTTATACTGCTTTTAGTTGATGTTTTATTATTGCTGCTATTAGTTTTTTGTTTGTATTTAGTCATCATCAAAAATACTGCTGCTGTTTCTAGGGTCACACTTGCCACAAGTGTGTACCCTGAATCCAGACCATACAAGAACGCATAGCTACCTCAGAAGGTGCCAGAATTGAGGCATTGCACTCTCATCCACGTATTCTGCGTCTAATATACTACAATACAAAAATAATCTCGCTTGGACCTCTTGCACCAGCTAAAGGATGTCAAATCCGCCAAGTCTAAATATATTGTCTGGAGACACTGATCAATTCCACCGTTATCTCACTCTAGGGAATTGAAACAAAACAGACGGGACATTGTCACATTTTTGGCAAGAAGTTTTCAAGTAAAATCGAGCAAGATTCGAGATATGCTGAAAGTACAACTACCTCAAACAACTGTCGTAAATGTTAAAAATAATCTCCACCACTTGTTGGAACAAGGCTTCACAAAGGAGCAAGTGTTAGTGGCCCTGGATGTAGTTCTTTACCCCCCAGAGTTGGTGAGTGACCAGCTGTCCACCTAGCAAAGCGACCTGAAGCACAGCCTTGGAGTTCAAAGGCAACCCAAATGCCTTGCAACTGCTACTCTATTTTATAGTGAAAAATTCATCCTACAGATTGTAACAGAGAATTTATGATAGTAAAGTATTATATTTACATTGGCTTTGTCTTTTCTTCTCCATGTTGAGCACTTTATGAGAGTGGAGCCAACTGAACTATACAAACAATTTATTCAAATGCATTGCACCCATCATGTTGCATCTGTCTCGTACGCGCTCACACTCACACGCACGTGTGTACACACACACATGCACACACACACACGTGCGCACGCAACACACACACACACACACACACACACACACACACACACACACACACACACACACACACACACACACACACAACACACACACACACACACACACCACACAAAAGGTCTGAGCAAAGGAGAAAGGCATAGATTCTCACTTGCAATAATTTTCATTGATATGATCACTCTCTCTCTCTCTCTCTCTTTCTCTCTTCCTCATTCACTGTCTTTCTCCATCTCTCTATTTCTCTTTCTCATTCTCGCACATCTGCCTGTAAGCAATCCTCATTTGTTTGTGCTTGTGCCATGACCCAAGCATATTTGGTGTACTGTAGAGAGTAAAAGAAAAAGAAAATCTTTTGGGAGATGTAGCCACAGGATCAAATATCTGCTGAGAATGTAGTTCCATTGTTTGCAAAGTTATAGTCTTTTAGTTTCCTATAATTGCATCAAGCAGTCAAAAGACTATAATATTAAGAGTACATTTGGAAGTATATCAATAGAAAAAAGTCATTATGACAGTTCACTAGAAGCAAGGTTATAATTCAAGGCATTCCTATTGACACCCAAAGTTGTATTTCTTAAGTAATGAAAAATATAATATAATATATATAAAATATTCCCTTTTGGATATCATGCTGAAATAGGATTTGCATTCATAAATGAAAAACAATTTATATCATTATTGGTAGCATTATGTTGTAAGCAAATACAAAACTAATATATCCTGCCACTATTTCATATTTACAAAACACAAACTATAGCAATTTTTAATTACAAAAAATGTGTAAAGTAGCAAATCTAAAACTTAACCTTTATATACACTATGTGAAACAAAACATAACAGTATTCAAA